CTATTCCAGAGAAAGCGCTTGTTGAGTCGCAGCCAGTAAGTGCATCAAACGACGGCAGACATTTGCACAGAAGCTGACCCAGGGAATGCTGAAGGGCATGGACTGGTACAAATCTCTGCTTGTCTTTAACATCGCTTCGAAACCACAACTCCTGGCAGCACAACTCTTTAAAATGTGCAATTGATAGCGCGGCCACATTAGTGTATGGCGATTGGATGAAATCCGTCGATATGTTGTGGCAGCATGCTTGGCGTGAAGCAGCAGTCGTGTATCTGCCTCCTCGTGGTCTGAACATAAGTTAGGCTCTATGGTTACGGAACCTTGGGTAAGAGACACTGTTCTTGACCTATCCTTGAATCCGCCAGCGAGAAAGACCTTCTGTGAAGGGCCTAAAGGTTCAGGGAAGTGTTGACTTAGAGGATCACAAAGAAACGCGGCCAAGTTTTCTTTGTTCTTTGGGTGGGAAATAAACTTTGTCCACTGCTTCGGAACTGGAGACGTTTCACCATGGATCTTCACTTCTAGGGAGCTTGATTCACCCCTCTCCTTGCCCTCGCCTGCTTTGATAGAGACAGGACGATACTGATCGAATACCAGGTCCACTCGAGTGCAGCAGTTACGACTCAGAGTACTGATGACAATATGTGAATATTTCCCAGACAGCTCTCCAAATGTTGCAGTTCCTGCAGATTTTTACATTTGAATCAAGGCCATTGCATCGATAAGGTATGCTGTAGGAGTTTCTGAACAAGGAAGGCTTGAGGGACACTAGATATCCTTCTCCAACAGAGGCATCAAGGTGCTTTTACCTGTCTTTCGGAGAGTTCCATCTGGGTGTGCTAGTGCAATGGGTACACTGCACAGCTCATACGAAAGCACCACTTTAAGATCTATGTCTCTGTGCTTAGCAGTTACCAGAAGGCGGCCAAAGATCTCACGATCTGCATTTACCGATGAAATTTTCTCTTTATGACGCGTGCTCATCACAGTTATCTTTGCCACTGAACGGAACGACTTGATCTTCAGCTTTTGGATCGGATCTCAGAAATTTGTTTCATTGCTCTTAACTCTTGACGAAATAAACCTCTCCAAACTCTGCCTGCCTAACTGTTTCGCTCCCACGAGCCTGTCTGCATCAGCATCGGGAAGAACAACACCAGAGGCAGATTACTCAGAGGTATTGGTTTGCTCTCATCGTGAATGTCATTTGGAATGTGAAAAGGGTCGTTTAGGAGCCCACTGCTAAAGGATTCTGCTAGTTTATGCACATCCTTTTCATCCCGTGCCAATCGTGAAGGTCCTGTATCTTTATGACGTCCGATTCGATCAAAGTTCTCAAAACCACACATTGCCTTGACCCCCTGCATCATGGCAGCTCTATCGGGGATGGTAAGAAACCATCGATCCCCTGCATCTTCGTTTGAGCTTCTCCCAATTATACCACATTTGGACTTGGAATCTAGGTTAATAGACTGCTCCAGGGCCATGTCCGTCCGGACTTGTGCAAAGTGCTGTTTTAGTGACTCACACTATGGTTTCCATTGATGAACTCTTTGTAGACTTCAGGATGGTTGGTTTCTAGCATGTTCATAACAGAAAGATAAACAGGAAGCCACCTGGCATAGTTTATCCGGTCCATAGCGAAGAAATGGGGAACCATGGCGGCCGTTGCGGTGAGGTGTAGCTTCCAGTTTCCAGTTCGTTCAGCCTTAATGAACTGCAGAAGAACCAGTACCATGTTGATGTAGACTTCCCAGAAGCAGAAAGCTTTGGATTTTTCTCTCTCTTCAGATCGGAATGCTTCTAGCACTGACGTCAGCGACTTTACACAGGATAGAAATCCATCCAGCCATCTTTTGAGAGTTCTTTGTTTTTCATTGTAGTTCTGCAATCACTACTTCTGTTGACAACAAGGTGCCTGGTCAGGTCGTCCACCCCATTGTCTTACTTCGACAGCCATTCCAGGAACGCTTGCCACAAAAGCCTAAATAGCGCTTCCATGCTGAGCTTCTGGGCACGTATCCCCTTATTGTACGACTTCCCAAGCATCAAAACTGAGGTGGTACCAGCTACATAAACTCCGGATTCAATAAGCAGATCTTCCAGGCCTGATTGTGCGTACAAATTTTCAAGGACAGCTAGGTAATTAAGTGCGATGTGGAAACCTCCCATTCTGATAACAGTGTTCTTAAACTCATTTGGGTATTTCATCTGTAGCTGCTTCGCTTTTGCGTAGAGATCTAGATCAAAGGTGATAACTGAGTCCCGCTGTCCCATTGATTCACAAATCTTCTGTGCAAGTTTCATCAACGTGTAGAGGGTACTAAAGTTGCTTACCTCTGCATGGATCATTAGGTGGTAGCCGATCATAGTCTTCAGTGGGATGCTGGGATATGTTAAGGTGTTAAATCCACTCCATCCTGGTGTGGTCTGCTCTTCTGGTTTTTCTTGGCTGCGCAACATAAAAGGGTCTGAAAGGCGAAGGAGCATTCAGCAGACATCGTCCATACAGGTGGAAAGAATCTGGCGGTTGCTCTGAAACCAGGTAATGACATCTTTTCCCACAAAATCAGCTATATTAGGACGTCTGCCTCCCACATTTGCATCTTCAATGACGACCAGCTCTCGAGTGGAATCGAGTGATCAG